GATATTTATTTCATAAATCTACTTTATTCATCAGAACTGTTTTGGTATTGACAGAATTATTTTATGATATCTTTTGTTTTTATCAGATGGCAGTGTATTTAGTATATTTAGATTCTACTTTATTTTGTGTATGGTTTTTCCTTCAAAATGTTCTTTAGGGGAAAAAAATTGAGCAGAAGCAGGCACACTGTTCTAGGACATCCCTTCCTTTAGAGATGAATTTCTCCAGATTAAAAAAAGATCGGCTTCCAAATCGGTGAAGCTGCTTCTTCTGTACAGTACAGTGACATGGTGTCTGGTTACCGTGGAACATGTGCTCTCATTTCGGACAAGCTGTTCTGCGAAAAAGTTTTATTTAGCCCACAGAGCCCATCCCCGGATTTGTGGGTGTTACCTCCTTTCCCCGTGTTACCAGGTTTTTTCACCACTATTATTGCTTCTGTGTCATCAGCTGTAACACAATTCAGTAGCAATCCTTCTTAAAGAAAACACAAGATGCCTCTGAAAATAGAACAGTTGGCTAGACAGAAAAGAGTTATCAGCAAAAGTAGGTCTGTTGTTTGTGTTTTGCTCCCTGAATTGCTTCTGAGACGGTTTCACACACGTGTAAATGAACAGGAGTAGAGTGAGCATATAATCTAGTATAATCTGTATGGTCTATCACGAAGTTTTATCCTATTTTATTAAGGAAACGAAATTCTATGAAAACTGATTTGGCTTGGGAATTCTTACACGTTTTAATTTTGTTCAAACTGAGGAATTAAATCACATGTGTTGGCTGATTTGTTCAGCTTTATTTTTAATGAGAAAACTTGGGGTTCTGTGAGCAAATGAACAATCCTTCTTAAAGAAAACACAAGATGCCTCTGAAAATAGAACAGTTGGCTAGACAGAAAAGAGTTATCAGCAAAAGTAGGTCTGTTGTTTGTGTTTTGCTCCCTGAATTGCTTCTGAGACGGTTTCACACACGTGTAAGTGAACAGGAGTAGAGTGAGCATATAATCTAGTATAACCTGTATGGTCTATCACGAAGTTTTATCCTATTTTATTAAGGAAACGAAATTCTATGAAAACTGATTTGGCTTTGGAATTCTTACACGTTTTAATTTTGTTCAAACTGAGGAATTAAATCACATGTGTTGGCTGATTTGTTCAGCTTTATTTTTAATGAGAAAACTTGGGGTTCTGTGAGCAAATGAGCACATTAATTCAAGATGGAGTCGATGGTGGTGTGGAGAAGGAAATGGAAACCCACACCAGTGTTCTTGCCGGGAGAATCCCAGGGACAGAGGAGGCTGGTGGGCTGCCGTCCATGGGGTCTCACAGAGTCGGACACGACTGAAGCGACGCAGCAGCAACAGCAGCAGATGGTGGTGGCGGCGATGGTGGTATTTCATTCTTCTGCTCATCAATTAAAACAAAAATTAATCATGCAATATTTACCGTCTAAGAAAAATGACATTTTTTTAGCTGCTCAGATTTCCCAACATTAGTGGTAACGACCAAAATGAAACAAAGGGACCGTCACTTTGTTGACCGTCCCCTCTAATCACTTTTTTGAGCAGAAACATGACGTCCCGTTCAGAGCACTGTTTGAAAGGCACATGAGAAGTAGCTGAGCCACCAGCCACTCAGAGTCTTGTGGTTGGCTGTACGTGACAGAACCCGTGGACTATACAGTCCACAGGATTCTCCAGGCCAGAATACTGGAATGCGTAGCTGTTCCCTTCTCCCGGGGATCTTTCCAACCCAGGGATGGAAGCCAGGTTTCCCACATTGCGGGCAGATTCTTTACCAGCTGGGCCGCCAGGGCAGCCCAAGAATAGTGGAGCGGGGAGCCCGTCCCTTCAGTGGATCTTCCCAACCCAGGAGTCAGACCGGGGTCTCGTGCATTGCAGGCGGGTTCTGTACCAGCTGAGTTCACCAGGGAAGCCTGTACTTGACAACACTCGGGTCAGATGCCCGTAAGAGCGCTGATCTGTGGAAATCAGCATGCTGAGTACATGTATCCAAATGTCATCTCTGCTTCCGGGTCTTACTTGTCTTGACTCCCCCCTCTACAGTGCATATAAATGTACTTGTGTTTTGATTTAAAATATCTCTTTAACTCTTGAATAAGTTGTCTTTATATCTAAGTCTTTTTCTATACAAGATTAAACCAGATTTTACCAAATCATGCTTTACCACTTCCTACTTTCCTTCATTTGAAATTCTTTTTTTTTTCACTTATTTATTTTTTAATTGAAGGATAAGAATACTGGAGTGGGTTGCCATTCCCTTCAGGGATCTTCCCAACCCAGGGATCAAACTCAGGTCTCCCAAATTGCAGACGGATTCTTTATCCTCTGATCCACAAGGGAAGCCCCACTTGAAATTCTGGAGCAGAATTTTTTAATCTAGGCCCTTGGACTAGGTCTGTATATTCACAAATGGATGTATAAGTCCCATTTGTGTATAAGTTTTAAGAACTGCTATCACCTAGATTTTCTCCTTTCATTTCTATTAGCTAACAGATGCTCAGTTCTGTCAGATGCCACACGTGGATTCTCCGAATACACTAAGTCGCCACCTTCCTTTTCCTTTAGAATTCACTCCTGATCTCATATTTCCTCTTACTTTCTGTTCCAGTTTAAGTAATATGAAAAAGAGAGAGAAACAAGATATAATACACTAAACCTCTGCCACTGAAGGGGCTGGAGTTCCTGCATGGGCATCTCATTTAACCCCACTGCAGCTGAAACATGAAGCAGAAAGGAGTGAGTCAGTCCCACAGCCTATAGTGGAAGAGTCCAAATTTACATCTGCGTTTAGACGGCACATTTATTCCTCTTTTCCAGATGGAATAAATGATCATAGCTTATGAATGGCATCAACTTTCATAATACATAACTTTCCTAAAAAAAAAACCCTTCATTATGCTTTGTTATAAATCTAGTACAAGTTTATCAATGCTATATTGCATCAATGTTGTATAATCTCATACCATCCGAGGACAAGAATCATTTACACGTGTGTGTTATGTATGTGTTAGGCACTCATTCGTGTCCAACCCTCTGTGACCCCATGGACTGCAGCCCACTAGGCTCCTCTGACCATGGAATTCTCCAGGCACAACTACTGGAGTGGGTTGCCATTTCCTTCTCCAGGAGATCTTAGCTACCCAGTAATCAAACCCGGGTTTCCCGTGCTGCAGGCAGACTCTACTGGCTGAGCCACAAGCGAAGCCCACAGAATCATTTACATGTTCATTAATTCACTCACTTTAAAAAATAACACTTATTAAACTATACTATTGCTAGAGGCTTTGCTCAGTTCTGGAATAGTAGTTCTAAATTCTATCTTCACATCAGATTCTACTGGGGAACTTTTAAAATACCAGTACCTGATCTCAGAACCAAAAGTTTTGATTCCCTATATGGAGGTGACCCTTGGGCTGTGTTTTTGTTTCGTTTCGTCTTTAGGTTTTTGTAACTGCAGCCAGCATGGAGGATGACTTTGCAAAGCATGGTTCCCTAGATCTGCAGCATCAGCATCGTGTGGGAATCCAGTGCAAAGGCAAATTCTCAGCCCTTCTGCACAGCCTTCCCATGCACCATGCCAGAAACTCCAGGGACTGGGCCTGCTTGTCTCTATTTAACAAGCCCTCTGGATATTCCCGAGCCAAGCCGATGGTTGATAAACACTTCTCTAGAGACAGGATAAATAAAACAGAGTACTTGCACTAAGCATTTCTCCTTGATCTCAAGGAGCCCTGTTGTTTCAAATTTGCATTTTAATTACCTAGCACAGTTCCACACTCTATAACCTTAGTTGGTAATGACAGCATTATTACTCCTGAAATAGTGTGATGACTTTCTCTTCTTGGGCAGCCATTAAATGAAGTGTTAATAAGAAAACAGTGGTCAGCGAATAACATCCCTTAACAAAAGTCTTAGGGATGTTATGGGTTGAAGGAATCGTCATAGTGCTTTGTACACACATATACACACACACGCACATAGAATTTTTAAACATAAAATTTTAAAGGGCAAATATTCCTAATAAAGGATTTTATTTTAAAGTGGTCTCTGTGTTGTGTTTCTAATGTACTAGTATCAATATTATACTTGCTATTTCCCTTCTTTATTAACATAGCTTTATTATAGCTTGATGATAGTATAATTTATATACAATAAAATGCACTCATTTGAAGCATTTAGTTAGATAAGTTTTGATACGTATATACCCCAGTATTGCGGAACAGTTGCATGGTAGCTTCCAGTTCTATTATAGGGACCTCTTGGGTGTCCAGTTTTCTCCAAGCACCCCCAAACTGCAGAATGAGGTTGTAAAGAAGGCTTCTTGAGAAAAACATGAACTAAGACCTGTAAGGTAGGAAATGGCAACCCACTCTAGTATTTTGCCTGGAGAATCCCCATGGACAGAGGAGTCTGGCAGGCTACAGTCCATGGGATCACAAATAGTCAGATAGGACAAAGCAATTTAGCATGCAGCATGTCAAGGGAATAAAGTAGGGAAAGTTAGTACAGGATAGAAATAAATCACATCTTGCCTGTCTGAAATCTAGATTTTTGTGTTGGTTGCCATTTACTATCATGTAGGATTGAAAAATACCTACTCAGCTCCTTTATTTCTTAAAGTTCCAATTGAGAAACAAGCTTAATGGCTAGTGAAATATACTACCTTAATACTGTGCTTAGAAATATCTGCTTCTGTCACTGAGGTGGTTATTGCATTAGGGTAGCTGTTCCCCTTTGACCACCAATCCACTCTTGAAGGCGTATTTCTCTACTGTGTGTATTATAAAAAACAGTTGTATGAAAGTGATGCTTTTGCTTCTAGAGCCACAGAATCTAATTCCTTGCCTTTGACTTGCTTTTAACATTCTTTCTCCCAAGCAACTGGGTGCATCCTTAAATGTTCATTCATCATTACCGCCAGGTGCTAATACTGGGACTTTATTTGGGAGGCTTAAACGCTCATTTTTTCTTCCTTTGCAGGCTGGCTCCATGAGTTGGGGAAGAGACTGGAATCGCCCTACTATGGGAACAATACCCTGGGTGGGCCGTCGATCCGAAGTGCCTATATCGCTGCTCTGTACTTCACGCTCAGCAGCCTCACCAGTGTGGGGTTTGGGAATGTCTCTGCTAACACGGATGCAGAAAAGATCTTCTCCATCTGCACCATGCTGATTGGCGGTAAGGAATATTCTTTCTTTAGGCCAGGAGCAGGAATAAGAGCTGCCAAACCGCTGCTGTTCCATGTCCTCTGTCCTAAGACCCAGCACGTGTAGATTGGTTTACACTGCCTTTCATTAAAGGCACTAATGAAATCACTGACCAACGTTTTAATGTACATGTAGATTAGCAGTGAAAGTCTGTGATCTCAAGAATTGCATGCTCGACAGATGAAGAAATAACCATTTACCTGATGGTTGATTTTTTTAATGTGTGTGTGTGTGTATATATATATTTAATTGAAGTATAGTTGATTTACAATTTTGTATTAGTTTCAGGTGTATAGCACAGCACGTCAGTTATATATGCATATAGAAACATATATATATATATTCTCTTTAGATTTTTTCCCTCACACTTTGTCATAGAATATTGAGTATAGTTCCCTCAAAAGCATGTTATATCATGTTCTCTTTTTTAATTTAACTTAGTTTTATATTGGAGTATAGTTGACTTGACTTCCCAGTTGATACTAATGGTAAAGAACCCACCTGCCAATGCAGGAGACATAAGAGGTGTGGGTTTGATCCCTGGGTTGGGAAGACCCCCTGGAGCAGGGCACGGCTACCCCCTCCAGTATTCTTGCCTGGAGAATCCCATGGACAGAAGAGTACTGTTGGATGACAGTCCATGAGGTCGCAAAGAGTCCTACATGACTGAAGCAACTTAGAACTCACACACATAAATTGACGTCAGGGTTGTGTTAGTTTCAGGGGTGTAGCCAAGTGATTCAGCTCTACATCTACATACACCCATTCCTTTCCAGAGTCTTTTCCCATATAGGTTATTGCAGAATATGGAGTCGAGTTCCCTGTGTGATAAAGCAGGTCTTTGTTGATTATCTATTTTAAATACAGTAGCATGTGTATATTAATTGGGATTATCATGTCCTCTGATATGAGGTTGAACCTTATTATACAGCACAGTTTCTACCAACTTCCTTGCATAGATGTGAGATGAATATTGAGACTTCACACAATGAGTCATCCAATGGACCGTGAAACCAGGGCAGCATCAGGCAAACTTTCCCTCGAGGAGTTTGGGATCAGTTTGAAAGGGATCGGCTGAAATGTGCAGAAAGAGCTTAAACAATGCCAGGCAGGATACGCTGAGTGCCAAGTCAGCTAGGAAGTTCAGAAGCAGTGAGAAACGGGGCCAAGGATCAGAGAATTTCTTGGAAAGGCAGAGTAGCTGAAGTAGCAGGTTGGTACTGCAGCATTTGAAACAGGCTCTTGGCCAGTGTGGAGCAGTAACAGCCTAGGGAGCAGAGAACAGGAATTCTCATTTTCTGAAGAGCTGTCATGTGCCAGATCCCGTGGTGGTAATTTTATACCCGGTATTATGGCTTACATAATTGCCGCTCTCTTTGATGGCCCATCTTTCAGCCCAGCAGAATGACAAGCATTTTGCAAACAAACACAGTCTATACTTATTTAATATTTGCCTGTGTTTTTTCTACTCCTAATGGAAATTATTTTGGAAATGCTCAAATGCTCAAGGCTTAACCTACTAATTTGACATTGGAAGAAGATGTTAGACAATGAAGCTTATTTCCTATTGATTCACGGACTCTAGTGTAAGCGGTCCTGAATTAGAAATTGCTAAGGATATTATTGTTCCCTGCTATTCCCTGTAAGTAGAAGCTAAGCCAGTCACAAAGCCAAAAGATATGGGAAATACTCAGATAGTGCCTCTGTCACTTGGTAAATGTTTATTGAGAAAATTACCCAGGTGCAAAACCAGTACTCATTTGTAAATGGCATTAAAGCATTTAGGTAACTTAGCAGAACTTAGGAAGCCATTGGTTTTGAATGGCAAATGACATCTAGGTAACTTGAATTTATTAAATAAAGCTTTGCAAATTTGTGTCTGTGGGAAATAGCTGTATTATTGTGACAATTACCCTAGGCTAAGAGAAATGATGCCTTCATTTTAATATTTCCTGGTTAACTAATTGCTGGCATAATTTTGAGAACTAACCCTAAGAGCTCACAATATTGAATACTTTGTTCATTTAATTCTTATAACACTATGAAATAGAGGTTATTAGCACCCTAATTTCGAAATAAGGCAACAGAGGTTTATTGAATTTAAATGCCAGGATTCACTAAAACCTAGCAAACTTTTTGTAAGATATCCACTTCATTATATACTGCAAATTTATTTTATTCATTGAATTTTTATAAATATGTACAAATAATTTATTTTTTAATTTAAAGTATGCATTACCATGGAATCAACACTGAGATATCTTATTAGGGATCCCACATAGGCTTATGAAATTGCTAATAACAGAGATACAATATTTACTACAAAAACAGGCAGGAATGGTATTAAATGCTGCAAGTGGGTGTCAAAACCCCCGATAATCATCTGGGGCAGAGGCTCTCTGAAGCTGAGTGAGGAGAAGAGAGAAAAACAAGATTCTACATGACATCTGTGATTAGAGTGTGCATATCACTGATTTATGGGAAGAATATTTTAAGCTATTGAAGAGAAGCAAAAATAGTGAAAAGAAAATCCATACCTAGACAAGTCTTTGTAAATTTTGAGAAGACCCAAAACAAAGGAGGAACCCTAAAAGCTTCAACAACTCTTAGAATTAATAAGTAAATTTAGGAAGGCTGATGGATATAAAGTCAATGTGCAAAAGAATCAATTGTATTCTATATTAGTAATAAACAATTGGACAGCGAAATATAGAAAAGAATTATAAAACATCAAATACATAGGAACAGATGTTTAAAATATGCAGTATTATTACACAAAAAACTACAAAATATTGAAAAATTTACCAGTAGTTTAAAATAGTGGAAGGATATGCCTGCATTGGGGCTTTACTGTAGTTCAGCTGGTGAAGAATCCGCCTGCAGTGTGGGAGGCCCCGATTCGATTCCTGGGTTGGCAGGATCCCCTAGAGAAGGGATAGGCTACCCACCCCAGTATTCTTGGGCTTCCCTGCTGGCTCAACTGGTAAAGAATCTGTCTGCAACGCCGGAGACATGGGTTCGATCCCTGGGTTGGGAAGATCTCCTGCAGAAGGGAAAGGCTGCCCACTCCAGTATTCTGGTCTGGAGAATTCCATGAACTGTGTAGTCCATGGGTCACTAAGAGTCGGACATGACTGAGCACTAACACTTTCACTTTCGTGGTAAACATACTAGCTTTATTCAAGTTAACCTTAAGAGTCAATGCAATCTCAATCAAAAATCCCAGTAAATGTGTGTTTGTCTGTGTGTATGAGCCTGTTTGAAAACTGACAAGCTGTTTCTAAAAACCAAGGGAAATGCAAAATTAAAAAGAATGTAAGCAGTAAAGAAGAATATTGCATTGTAAACCTTCATAAAGAAGAACAAAATTGGAAGATTTATGCTGCAAATATCATGCTGTGCGACAAAGTCACAGTAGTTAAAGTATGGTGTTGCCTCAGGGATAGATAACTAAGCTAATGGAAAAGAAGAGTGCGCGGAAACCTGCCTGTAAGCATATGGCCACTTTATTTATGACACTGGTGACACTGTAATACAAGGGAGGAATGATGATACTTTTTATTTTTTTATTTTTATTTTTTTTAACCTACAACAATCTAGTTTATTTATTTATTTTTTTTCCATTTATTTTTATTAGTTGGAGGCTAATTACTTTACATCATTGCAGTGGTTTTAAAAATTAAGTTGTATTAATTTGTATTAATGCTTATAGCGGCATTGCAATGTTGTGTTAGTTTATAATGAGCAGCAAAGTGACTCAGCTCTGTGTATACATATATCCCCTCATTTCTTAATTTCCCTCCCATGTAGATCTCCAAAGAGCATTGGGGAGAGTCCCCTGAGTAGATTCTCCTCGGTTATCTATTTTATACATAGTACCAATAGTGTGTGTGTATATATATATATATATATAAAAAATTAAAAAGAATGTAAGCAGTAAAGAAGAATATTGCATTGTAAACCTTCATAAAGAAGAACAAAATTGGAAGATTTATGCTGCAAATATCATGCTGTGCGACAAAGTCACAGTAGTTAAAGTATGGTGTTGCCTCAGGGATAGATAACTAAGCTAATGGAAAAGAAGAGTGCGCGGAAACCTGCCTGTAAGCATATGGCCACTTTATTTATGACACTGGTGACACTGTAATACAAGGGAGGAATGATGATACTTTTTATTTTTTTATTTTTATTTTTTTTAACCTACAACAATCTAGTTTATTTATTTATTTTTTTTCCATTTATTTTTATTAGTTGGAGGCTAATTACTTTACATCATTGCAGTGGTTTTAAAAATTAAGTTGTATTAATTTGTATTAATGCTTATAGCGGCATTGCAATGTTGTGTTAGTTTATAATGAGCAGCAAAGTGACTCAGCTCTGTGTATACATATATCCCCTCATTTCTTAATTTCCCTCCCATGTAGATCTCCAAAGAGCATTGGGGAGAGTCCCCTGAGTAGATTCTCCTCGGTTATCTATTTTATACATAGTACCAATAGTGTGTGTGTGTGTGTGTGTGTGTGTATATATATATATATATATACACATATATCTCAATCCCCATCTCCCAATTCCTCCCACCTTCTTCCCCCTTTCTTAGTGTTCATATGTTTGTTGTCCACATGTGTCTCTATTTCTGCTTTGCAAATAAGTTCATCTGTACCATTTTTCTATATTCCACATGTATGTGTTGATATGCAGTATTTGTTTTTCTCTTTCTGACTCTCTTCACTCTGTGTGAGTCTCGAGGTTTATCCACATCTCCGTAAATGACACAATTTCATTCCTCTTTATGGCTGAGTAATAGTCCACTGTATACATGCACCACATCTTCTTTATCCAGTCCTCTGTTGATGGACGTTTAGGTTGTTGCCTTGGCATGGCTGTTGTAAACAGTCATGAACATTAGACTACCTGTATCTTCTGAAATTACAGTTTCCTCCAGGCGTATGCCCAGGAGTGCAGGGATTG